GCACCATGGCACTGGCCATTGTAGGCGTGGAGACATTCTTCTCCTTCCCCTTGTCTTTGCCCTGAGCGCCTCTGTCCAAGGAATCCTTAGGGTAGGGCTTCTCAAAGAAGCTCACCTAAGCCCCGGTCATGTGATCTTACGGAGCCTTTTTTCCCCAATTCTCTACCCATTTGTTGTAATCTTTTAAGTCAGCTAGTCCCTGAGCTTTACCAGGGTTGGGCCAGGCCCATTTTGTTTATGGCTGTGTTCCCAATACCAAGGACGGCAGGTGACACACGCAGGATACACGAACAGATGTCGGAATGAATAGTAGATGGGCACAGTGATAATAGGAGCTAACAGTCATCGAGTGCTTATTCTTACAACAGCCCAGTGAGTTAGGAAAAATTATTATCCCCAGTTTACCGACACTGAAACTGAGGCTGAGATAAATCAAGGGGCTCATGTAGGGTCACTCAATGGCAGTGCCTATTGGGAAGAGCTCACTAAATGCTGGTAGACTGATTGATTGCGAGGAGGCAGAGTAGCGTGGTGGAAAACACTGTAGACTTCAGTCTGAGACGCGCACGTCGAGAACCAGCTCATTCATGTATCCATTCATTCACTTGGTTATTCAACAATGATTAAACCTCAGCCCCTGTGCTGGGTACTGGTAGGTACCAACAACCAGGCAATCATGATATCATGTAGTCAGAGCTGGGATGGGATAGGCCCAGGGGTCTGTGGAAGTTACTGAACCAAACTGAAGGATCAGGAAGCATTTCTGGGTGAAGTATACCTGGACCAGCAGGTGGGCATGGCCAGGCAGACTGCAGGGGGAGACGCTTTGAATTGGGGGGTGTCTGGCTGCACATGCTCAGGATGGAGTTGGCACCAGTGCCTGGCAGTGAAAACCACCCCTCTGCAAGGCTCCGGGGCCTCCTCTCAGCCTTGGGTGGACAGGCCTCTGTGGGTGCCTGAGTCACTCTGCCCTACCCCGGGCCTGGAACTCTGCCCCACCTCAGGCCAGGTTGGGACAACATCACCTCTGAGTTGCAGACATTCCTACTCATCTGGGCCCAGAGTCAGAGTTCAGTGAAAAGCAGGTAATTTAGGCCAAACCAGATAAGGGCCAGATGCTTCGCTCTGCCTGTGGCCCTCAATTTACCCATCTGTAAAAGTCAGTTTAAACTATACACTCTGCAGATCCTTCTTCGCTTACCTCCTGTGACCCAGCATGTTACTATCAGTATTGGAAGTAGACTTGAGTCCTGGGGGTCAGGACTCCTTTTGCTACAATCCCAGCCTCTCTTGGACGCCGGGACTAAAGCTTAAAAAATACATATATTCAGGGGCTTCACTGATCTATGATTAATAGGGCAACCTACCATGTATGTCCTTTTGGCAGGTTCCTGGAACAGGAAGAAAGGAGAAACAATTTCCCCCTTAGGATCAAGATTGCCCACCCCACCCCCAAGCTGGCATTGTGAGACATTTACCTCCCACCCAGCATGCTCTGGGGCAGGACCTCTGCTAAAGGATGCCACTAACATGAATAAGCCAGAAATCCAGGGATCTGTTTCCATGAAAGTGGGGATGGGCTCTAGCAAGCCGTCCTCACTCCTTGACTCGGCCACCTCCACTTGGGGAAAGAGGTTGACATGTGGCTGGTGTAGAGTGAGCTGACACACACGGGAGGAGAAACCCAGGCCTCTGACCCACAATTGGCCCCTCAACCACAGACGCCTGGGCCACTGTAGCTGCCCTCCACTTCTCATTTCCTCTCCACTCCTCAGTCTTTCCTCTATTTAAAACTCACCAATGGCTTCCCATCATATCTAGAGTGTTATCCAAAGTTTTCCCCATGGTTTCCTGCCTTCCTACCTCTCCTCACTCCCCTCACTCTAGTCACACTGGCCTCCTTTCAGCTCCTGGAAAATGCCAGTCTCTTTCCCACCTCAGGGCCTTTGCACATGCTGTTCCCACTGCCTGGCATGCTATTCCCTCATAACATAGCACAGCTGACTCCTTTTCATTTGAGTCGCTGCTCAAATCTCCCTCCTCAGAAGGGTCTTTCCTAATTCCCCTAAGAAAAGCAGCCCATCTCACCCACTATTTGGTTTCACAGTTCCCAGTTTCCCTCACGGCCCTTGCCCCAAGCTGTGATCGTTGACAGTTGGTTTGTTCAATGGTCTCCTTCCTCACCATTGGTGAGCTCCAAGAGGGTAAGGACCGTGGGATCCCATGGCTACATCCCCAGCATCTGGTGCGCAATGGCTACTCAAGAAACGTTTGTTGAATGGGTGAGACATGAAAAGTATCAATAGTTCTCACCCTCCCCCTTGAATACTTTGCAGCTCTATGGAGGAGATAATGGCATTTATTGGGTACCTATTATATGTAAGGCTCTCTCACGTATTTTATTTTGCTGAGTCTTTACATCCATGACATCTGTCCATTGTACAGACGATGAAGTTGGGGTGCAGTGACCTGCCTGAGGTCCCACGGCACAGGGTGGGCTGATGGGTTCATCCGGTCAGGAGGCAGCGAATGGGCATGAAGGGCTTGAAGAATGCCATGATGAAGAGTGGCTCAGGATGGAATCCCAAGTTTGACTCTACCCAAAGCCTAGGTTTTTGTTTTTGTTTTTCAATCTACCACACCTTCTGCCACACTAGAACTCAGCCCAAGAATGACAACCAGGTTTTTAGATTCTGAAAGGCAGGGTACAACCCAGATTGCATGGAGAGGTGGTGTGGCTAATGGTTATTCAAGTGGGTCTTGGAATTGAACAGAGAGACCGGGGCCCATACGGGGGACCCTACTACCTAACTCCAGGGTCCCCTTGCTGAGAGTGGTCATGAATATCGCTGGGCTGGAGCATCTTTGCTCTCAAGAAGGAAGTCAGCTATGGGGGTGTCATGGGGCATATTGGAAAAGTCAAGGCATGGGCTTCCAAATCATGCAGGAACCCCTGCACCCCTGGAGCTGGGTGGCCTTTAGGTAGAGCCTTCTCCTCTCTGAGCCCCAGTGGTCATTTTTGAAAAATAGGCATGCCAGCATGGAATCAAAAAGATCCCTTAGGAAGATAAAGAGGAAAAATGACTGTGGGGTTGTTGGTGTATATAAAGTAACATGGAAATGTAAATTATCTAAAAATAAGACTATGTGAAATGCAGAGAGAGGTTGGGACTTGGACGACCTCTTGGGTTCTTTCAGCATTTATTGGCACCTACTGTGTGCCCAGTGCTGTGCTAAGGCCTAGGGTATAGGGATGAGTCAGACATGGGCCTTAAACCCCAACTACTGGGGGAAGGGAGCTGGGCACAAACAGTGTTTGGATTCCTCCCTGCGGGATGGTAGGGGGAGACTTTTGGTGTGATGTGGTCGCAAGAGCCAGATAGACCTGAGCTGAATCCTTCCCCTCCTCCCTGCATGACCTTGAGCAGGTCAGGCCACCTGTCCAAGCCACAGGCCTTTACCTATAAAAATGGGCCAGGCCCCTTTGCCTCTCGGAGTTGCCAGGGCATGGCGCGCTATAAGTTCCAGGGCGGGGGACCTCGGGATGGGGGTAGCCAGTGGTTCCTAGACAGAAATGGTCCTGCAGTGGACAAACTCTGGGCCTCAGGCTTGGGTGGTGACTTGCAGGAGAGGCCTGAGGACGTGTGGGCTAGGCCCCAGGGAACAGCAGGGCAGGAAACACAGCAATTCCTAACGCTCCGTAAAGAAAGGAGGGCAGAAATTCTGGGGAGTTGGCTTGTACCTTTATTTATGTTGGTAATTTCATTAAGGGTGAGGGGGCTGGCTCTATTCAAGCTAAGTCCTGTGGGGAGAGGAGGTGGATGGCAGGCCACCTGAGTTTACTCAGCAAGAGATTCTAGGCCAAGGTGCACCCATGGAGACAGAGTATTTCAGGCTGAATTTATGAGTGTGCTGAGTGTCGCCTGAAGCCTTGGTGGGGTTGGCCTGAGTGAGGCCATGGGCCAATGTTGACGGCTTTCCTGGGGCTTGGGGTTGTCCCACAGCAGTGGGGGTGGCAGAAGCAAGGCCAAACTTTGCGGAATTTGGGGTGAGACTGAGGGGAGGAAGTTGAGGGGGAGCCCATGGACGGCAGTTAGGTGTTCCCCAGGGGAACACAGCTCTTCTGGGCTTGCACCAGAGGTCAGGCCAGTTGCCGCGAAGGAAGGGGCCCAGTCCTGTACCTCCAGTGCCGGGCTAAAAATCGGGCGGGGCCGGGCGGGTCTGTGCCCCACTTCCCGTGAGACCGCCAGGTCCGGTCAGAGCGCGGCCTGGGAGGCTTGGACCCGGCCGGGCCAGAGGGAACTCAGTCCCTGAGCTGAGCACACTGCGCGCCTGCGGCTCCTGCCCTCCCAGTGGCTGCGGGCGCGGCAGCCTCCGCGCCCCCAGGGGCCGGGCCGGGGCGGAGGCTGGGCCCCGCGGGCGGGCGCGGGAGGGTGGAGGGGACGGCGGCGAAGGCTGCGACGCTCTAACAGGTGGGATCCCGCGGCGTGGTGGAGGCGGGCGCGGGAGGAGGAGGAGGAGGAGGAAGAGCAGCGGCAGCGGGAGCCTGAGCAAGAGCAGGATGAGCCGCGCGAGCTGACAGCCGCCGCCGCCGCCCGCGCCCAGGCTCGGTCTCGCTCTCCGCGCCCGGGGCCGCTCCCCGCCTCCCGCCTCCCCCTGCCGCCCGCGGGGCGGCCCGCCCCCTCTGCACCTCCGGGCCCGGAGCTGCCTCCATCGCTCCTGCATCCCGGCCGGGGGGAGGAGGAGGCGGAGCAGGAGGCGAGCCGGAGCCGCCGCCGCCAACGCCGCCGCCGCCGCCCGAGCAGGACAGAGCGCGCCGCAGCCCCGTGCGTCCGGCCGCCGCCCGTGCCCATCAGGCAGCCGCGCCGGAGCCACACCGCGGGACAGCCCGGGCCGCGGCGCGCCCCGGCCCGGCCCAGCCCAGCCCAGCCCAGCCCAGTCCCGGCACCGGGCGGCCCGGTGGCCGGCCCGCCCCCGAGGGCGCCGGGCGCGGCGGGAGGATGCCGAAGCCGACGCTGCTGCTGCGCGGGGGCTGGGAGCGCGAGCGCAGTCCCGGGGACTCGGAGCTGGGCCGCCAGTTCCGGGACTGGTGCCTGCGCACCTACGGCGACTCGGCCAAAACCAAGACGGTGACACGCAGCAAATACCAGCGGATCACCGAGGTCCTGCAGGGCGGCGGTGGGACGGGCGCGGGCAGCGGCCCGGCGGCCGGCGAGAAAGGCAAGTTCCAGTTCTGGGTGCGCTCCAAGGGCTTCCGCCTGGGCAGCAGCCGGGAACCCAAGATGGGCCAAGTGGTGTATGTGCCGGTCAAGACGGGCTCGGTGAGTGCGAGCGCGGCGGCCGCGGGCCGGTCCCGCCGCGGGGCTCGGGGCGGGCGGGGGCGGGGTGGGGGTGTGGATGTGTGTCCGAACCTGTGTCCCTGAGGCTGTCCGTGTGTCTGGCCCTCCCGAGGCGCACGCGTCCCTGCTCACCCGCCCGACCCGGCCCGCCCAGGCTGCGCTCCGGGTTCGGGGCGTCCCTGCCCCCCTCTGCGCCGCTGCCCGGGCCGTGGCCGTGCGGGGCGGGCTGTCCCGGGCTGTTCACCCCAGCATGTTCCGTCCTCCTGTCCCCTCCCCCCGCCAGCAGGCGGCTTCTCCGAAGCCCGAACCTCCCCCCCCACCCCGCCCGCCCCAGGGCTGCCTGTCCCGGGCGCCTCGCGCTCCCGCCCCCGGGCCGGCTGGGCGGTGTGTGTGTGCGTGTGTGTCTGTGTGTGGAGGGTGGTGCCGCGGGAGGGGGGCAGGGGCAGCCACGGGACGGGGAGTCCACTCGCCTCCCCAGTGCCCGGGGAGGGGGCCCGCCCGGGCACTGCTCCCCGACCCCACCCGGGGCTGGCCCGGGGAGGGGCAGCCCGAGCCGCAGCCTGGCGCAGGAGCAGCCTCCCGCGGGTGGGTGGGGCGCCCCCTCCGCCCCCCGGGCCCCTGGCTCCCCCTCCCGGGGACGGGGGCGGCCTGACCTATCCATCCCTTCCCCTCCCCCGTCCCCGGGGCCAGCCCGGTCCGGGCGGGGTGGCGTAGGGGAGGGGGCGGGGAACCGCAGCAGCCGGGAGGGAGGAGGCGGGCTGCCGGGCGGGGGCGTCCCCTCCGGCCCGGGGCGCCCTGGAGAGGGCGTGCGGCGCGGGCCCCGCGGCTCCCCCGCGGGGACCTCATTGTTCTGCAGCGGGTGGGGGCTGGGGGGGCAGCTGCTCCCGGGGCGCTGCTGAGCTTTGAACTTTCCGTCGCGGAGACCCTCCACGAGTGCGTTCAGCCCCCGGCCCGCTCGGGCCGGGCCGGCCTTCCTCCCTGCCCCCCTCACTCCCTCCCTGGCCTCGCCCGGCCGGAGCGAGCGAGCGGGGCCGCCCCGCGCCGGCCTCCCTCCCTCGCTCGCTCTCCCGCCCCCCCCCTCTGTGCTCCTCCCCCGTCCGGCCCGCCCGCCCCGCGCTCAGCCCGGTCCCCGGCCAGAGCGGGCTCTTCACACACAATTGATTCGGTCGTTACGAAAAGTGCACTTGTCCCCTCCCCCTCCTCCTCCCCCTCCGGCGGCCGCCCGGGCCCGGCCCGCGGGGTGAGGGGGCCGCGAGGGAGGGAGGCGGGAGCCAGGGAGCGGATCCGGAGGCGCCTCCCCCCTCGCCCAGGGGACGGGGCTGCAGGCCGCGGGGAGTGGGGCGCCGCGAGCGCGGAGGGCGGGCGGCCCATCTGCGAGGAGCGCTGATAACCGCGCGGCTGCCGCTGCGGCCGCCAGCAGCCCATCTGCGCCGCTGCCGCCTCGGGCCGGACCCAGAGCAGAGGCCGGGCCGGGGGCGCGCCCGGGCCCGATTCCTGAAGGGGAAGGCTGGGGCAGTGTCCCACCCAGCGAGTCAGGGACCACCCCGCCCAACCTAAATCAGTGCTCTCCCCCAAACCCGGGGAGTCTGGGTCGTTGCCCCCTCCCCCGATCGAGTCAGAGACCCCTCCCCCAGCCTAAATCAGTGCCCACTTTCCCACGCGGGGAATATGGGTCATTGCCTCTCCCCAGCCTAGGTCAGCCCCTCCCACCCTGCCAGTTCCTATCCCTCTCATTGCTCCCCTATCTTGGGCTAGTGTCCCCAGCCTAAGTGTGGTTTTTGGAGGTCAGTGACCCACCAGATGGTTGGCTGGGTATGTGCCCCCTACCTTGGGTCACTGCCCTGAGCCATCTAGGCTTCTTAGATCAGTTAGTGCCACCTCCCCTACCCACCGCATCAGGGTTATCCCACCCTAGGGAGCTGGGGGTCCTGCCCGAGTCTCCTTAGTCTGAGGAGTTGGGGGCAGTTACCCTCAGACTTGGCAGCTGGTTCACTGGTTCACTGTGTGGGTCCACCTCTCCTCTAGGGAGTGGGTATCATGGGGCAGTCCCCCTAACCCCTTAACCACACAGCCCTCAAGGTGGAGCAAGAACACACGCCCATTCAGGCCATGTTTGAAATTAGGTGCTGGGTCTGGTTCCCCGGGTCCACCAGCCCAGCCAGTCTCTTTCTAACCTTCGTGAGGCCCACACTGACCTGCCCTAGCAGCAGGGGCCTCCCAAACCTCCACCTTGGCTCCCAGACCAATAAAAGCCTTCCCCAAGGGACCACCTGCCTGGGAGGCAGAGAAAGGGGACCCAGGCCTCCCTGCCCAGGCTGCCAGAAGGATGACAAACACAACAGATATGCCCTCCTGTGACAACCCGCCCCTCGCGGTCCCCGTGCCCGGCTGCCTGGCCTGCTGGTCCCCAGAGAGCCTGTTAGTTACCTGCCACTTGCCCAGCCAACCGGAGCCAGCCGCAGGAGATGCCCCTAGTCTGCCACCCCCATCTTCAAGCACCTTCCTGGGGCTCAGTTATTATTTTTACATTTCCATTTTCCTTTTCACTGATCTAAGAGGAATGAATCCTGCTGGGAATTCGGGGGCAGCCATTGCCTCTTCCTGGGAGGGGCTGAACGGGACCTTCTTTGAAAGGTGCAAAGGATATCCCCCACCTTCACCGGCCTACACACACACACACACACACACACACACACACACACACAAAGTTATTGTTGCCTCTGGTGGCAGTTGGGAAAGATCCTGTAGTTTTGTCCTGGGTGGGTTTTATGAAGGTCATTGGGCCATAAACCTTTGTCCAAGGCATTTGTTTAGCACCCACAGGCCTTGTGAGGGGCACTGGGACATTGGGATGGGTTGGACTCTGTGCCTGCTCCTGGGGCACCCAGCTGGTGGGGGAGGTGGGCACGACTGAGGATATGATCAAGACGCCTGGCAGAACAGTTTCAGGGAAGCGGAGATGTGGGAGTGTGGTCATCCAGCAGTTGAACAAGGGTCCCCTGCACGGGCTCAAGTCCCAAGGGTAGCTGTGGTGTGTTGTCTCTCTTCCATGTTGCTGCCCCCTCCTTGGGCCCCCTTTCCTCCTCCCACAGCCATATGTGGTGTTGTGGTCGGGGCCCTTCCCGGAGTCCCGGCCAGCAGCGGGTCGATGATCTGACACCACTTGTCCTGTCCCATCTGGCCCTGAGCTTTTCTGGGTGTGTGTGACAAAGGCTTAATCTGTCCGGACCGGCCGAGGGCTGAGAGGAGGGCAAGGGGAATTACACTCTGCCTGGGCCTCCTGCAGCTGGGGCCCGGGTGGGGGGCGGGGCAGGGCGGGGGTCGAGCAGAAGCCTGGCGGCGGGGGGGGGGGGGGGGCGCGGGGGGAGGTAAGTTGGTCTTCAGTTTGCAGGTTGTCACAGGAAATAGAAGTGGAGGCGGAGGGCTGAGGAGAGGAGGGCGGAGTCCTCCACGCTGGGCACAGGGTGCTCATGGGGATAAGATCTTTTTATGACAGGAGCCAGCCGGGCCTCCTGGCTGGGCAGAGCCTGGGTAGGATTTATTATTTCTTGTGTTTGGACTGCTCCGGCCTCCGTGGCCTGCCAAGCAGGGGAAGCAAACCCCTTGGAGGCAAGACCCTCTGATTCCGTTCCAGTGTCAGCCACAAAGTGACCCAGCCCCTTTCCTTTTCCTCTGGTCGCTCAGAGTGGGACTCTCTCTGGGGCCTGCAATGGCCACAGGTTATGTTTGGGGTGGGACCCTGGACCATCTGTCAACTCTCCGGACCAGAGAGCCCAGGGCTTTCTTGGAGAAAGGTATTCTCGGCCCAACTCTACCATCTTCCAGATGGGAAAACTGAGGCCCTCAAGAGAGGACGTTTCTGTGGATAGGGAGTCAGGACTGGAACGCAGATCTCTGTGCTCCACTGGCTTCTCTGTGGCCCATCACATGCCAGGCACCCCCCCCCACCCCCGCCCCGCCATTAGAGCCCCGTTCCCTGAGGGGAAACTCCAGATTGCCAAACTCCACTCTCAACACTAGGCTCTTGCGAGCTGGACCCCAGGTGTTCTGCTGGCCAAATTGACTAATGGTGGTCTTTTCCCAGTTTGCAGACAACGTTCATTTAGTGGAGAGCGTTTTCACAGTCTTCGGTCTTTCTCCCCAGAGCTTTTGTGTAAACCTTTGGCACCTGCGGCCGCTGGTCTGGGCGGGAAATGGCCTCTGACTTAGCACAGTGTAATGTATGCTGTGACCTTCGGTTGAATACCTTAATATTTCCGGCTTTTCTTCAAATTATCACCACAGTGGCCCTTTCTGAGTTACTGCTCTGTGCCCGTCACTGGGCTGAGATGCTGAGACGCAGTGACTTACCGAATTCTCACAGCAGCCCAGGTCAGTGCTGTTTTTATTGCCATCGTTCAGATGAGTAAACTGAGGCTTAGGGAGGCTCGAAACTCCGCGAAGGCCACTGCTGATAGAGGCAGGCTCTGAGCTTCGGTACTGCCCACACGCATGTCCATTCTGACCCTGTCTGAAGCATCTTGCATTCTGACCCAACTTGAAAGCCTAGGTCCTTCATCACAAGCTTTCAGTCCGTTATACCTTAAGCTGAAATAGTTTAGGAGGATCCCTCTGGTCAGCATGTCTGTAATCATAGGCTGGTGCTTGAGGCAGGATTGGCTCTGTGTGACGTGTCTGCGGGCTTCCCTGGGGTTCACTAGGATGGGTATGGGGTAAGAAGGGAGGAGGCCTCTGCTGTCCAGGGTCTTGGGGGACTTTGGGGAGAAAGTTGACAATGGCATCTGGCACGGGCCCCATTTGGATTTCTCACAGCAGACGTGGGCTATTTTGTTAATTAAGTCTCAGTAATTCTGGTGAATATGGTCTTGGGGACTCTGGGGGACTATATTTTGGAGCTTGGGTGATGCTGAAGGATCAGGTTCTGCCTTTCTGCGACCTCCCTCCTGGGTCCTGGGTCACCGCCTCCTGGGGAGTGGAGACGG